AAGCTCTTTCAGCTCTGTCAATAAGTGCCCAAAGAGGCACCCTGCTCCACCAGTAAGCCTCCTGCCTGAAGGCGCACAGCTTTCTCACTCTGTGGGTCCAAAAGCCCACTGTGCTGTCTCCTACTGAGTCTCTTTTTGCTACCATTTCTTTGATACTGCTTCTCACTGTCTCTTATTATCTCAGCAGAGTGTTACAGCTCTGTCTCCTGGTTAAGTGAGATCCTCACTGTAGGATCTCAAGTCCAAAGGACACACTCCACTACTGGATCTTCTTTTTTGATGATAGTGAGATTTCCCTCCTTCCCCTGCTGCCTTTTCCTTTAAAATAGCTAACTTTAAGCCTAGTGGTATGCAGAACTGACCAGTCTCCAGGTTAAGATTCCATATACCTTATTTGCAGTGCCCCACCCCAACAAGGGTGCCATGTACCTTATTTACATTATTAGCAAGCTGTCTATTCCCCTTAGTGGGACATAAACACCTCACATTTGCATAATCCTACCCAGTAATTTGAGGAGCTCTGGTAACCTAGTGCCTAAAGGACTTGACTGCTAACCAGAAGGCTGGCGGTTCAAACCTACCAGCCACTCCTCAGAAGGAAGATTGGGCAATCTACTTCGTAGTAATATCGCCTCGGAAACCCAAGGAGGGGTCACTATGAGTTGGATCTGACTTGACAGCAGTGAGTTTGGTTGAGATAGACAATGGCTAAAAGGGAGATACCAAGCAATTCAATGTACCACAGTAGGGCTTTTTTTGTTATATGGGCTGAGTTTTAGGTCAAGGTCCCTGAGTGGTGCAAATGGTTTGTCCTTGACTGCTAACGTAAAGATTGGCAGTTTCAGCCACTCCACAGCAAAAAGGACTGGCAATCTGCTTCTGTAAAGATTATAACCAAGAAAACCCTGTGCAGCTGTTCTACTCTGTAACACATGGGATCACCATGAATCAGAATCTACTCTATGGCAATGGGTTTAATTTGTTTTTGTGTTGTCCCGCCCCTTTGAGTTTGAGGTCAGGAGAATCTAATCCCTTAGTTAAATAAAAGAAGACAGGGATTTAATTTTTGTAAAATGGGAGAAATTATGATTTATTTTGGAGGCAGAAATTGAAGAACGTGTGTGTTACACAAAATGTTTTTGTTTTTTAATTGTAATAAAGTCAAGTCTATTAACAGTCCCAAGGTGGCCAGATAACATGGCAGCTGCTGAATGAAGACTAGGATTCAAGTGTGCCAAAAGCTTCAGAGACCATTCTCAGTGCTTCTCCTTATATACTGGAAGCAGACCACAGCCCTACGGCAGCTACTCAGCTGCTCACAGTAGATTCCACCATGGAGTTGATTACCAGTCTCATCATGGGGAATTAACTACATCCAGCTGCCGCTCCACTCAAAACCAGGCCCAACCAAGTTGACACCCAACTTAACTACCACAGGCTCCCGTATGTTCCTGAATCAGGGCAAGGCCCAGTGTTGTACTAGGTTCCTGAGCAAGTGGTGTCTACTGCAGCCACTCATGTGTGTGCGGCTGCTGCTCACACTGTCTCACCCATGAGTGCCTCCTGTGGAAAGAATTCACTATCAGGCTGACTTGAGTTTCAGTTCTTCTCCCTCCATTTACCAGTCATTCTACACTGGGCAAAACTCAGCTGAAAGACACAAATTTGTGAAATAAGGATGCTTACTTTATTGGGTTTTCCAAGAATTAATAATAGTAGTTATGAAAACGTCTAGCAGGGTGCTTGTCTAGTAGGAACATAAAAGACACTTCTCTTCCTCCATCTTCCTTTTTCACAGCATTGTTGGCATACTCTGATTCTTTTTTCTTAAGAGGTTTATAAAAAAAAAAAAAAACTCACTGCCATCAAGTTGGATCCAGCTCATAGTGACCCCTCCTTGGGTTTTTGAGGTGGTACCTCTATGGAAGTAGATTGCCCAGTCTTCCGTCTGAGGCGTGGCTGATGGGTTTGCACCTCCAGCCTTCTGGTTAGCAGTCAAATGGCTCAGGCAGTATGCTACCAGAGCTCCAAGAAGTTTATATGGTTCCATGTGATTCAGTGAATTCATGTTTTAAAATTTAGAATAGGGCCTATCCGCAGTAAGTACTTTATATGTGTGTTGAATAATATGATCAGGCAAAAGACTGCTAACCATTTATTCCCTACTAAAAATAATAGAGCTCAGACAGTGATGTGTACCTCAGGTTCTCTTTTCTTTCAGGACTTTTTTACTACTTTCATATTCTGGGGAACCAGGTACCTAAGCTGGGGTTGATGATTTTTCTTTAATTTCTATTCCTGGACTGTCTCAGAATGGGAAACACAAATGAAGTGAAGAATACCAGCTCTAAGCTGCTGAGATTTTTATACTTGAAAGCAGAAGTTTGCAAACATTTTAAAGAAACTAACTCCCCACCTTTTCTTTTTTCAGTTTTAATTCCTTAGACCAGGATCATGGCCCACATAGAGAAATTAGCTTACAGGTCTGGAGTCCTACTGCTGAGGTTTGAATTCCACTTTT